CCTCTTCCTCCTCCATCCTCCTCCCCCACCTCCTCCTCCTCCGCTTCTTATTATTCGTGTTCGTATTATTAGTCGGTTTCGTCTTAGTTGTATCATTATTCTTATTATTAGTATGATTCCTCGTATTCATAGTTTTCATCCTCCTCCTCCTACTCCTCCTCCTCCTCCCTCCCTCCCTCCCTCCTCCCTCGCTCTCTCTCTCTATCTCATCCTCCTCCTCCTCATCGTCCTCCTCCTCCTCCTCCTCCTCCTCCGCCCCTCCCTCCTCCTCCCTCCTCCCTCCTCCCTCTCCTCCTCCCTCCTCCTCCTCCCTCCTCCCTCCTCCTCCTCCTCCTCCTCCCTCCTCCCTCCTCCCCCTCCTCCCTCCTCCTCCTCCTCCTCCCTCCTCCTCCTCCTCCCCCTCCTCCTCCTCCTCCTCCTCCTCCTCTTCTCCTCATCCTCCATCCTCCTGCCCCACCTCTCCTCCTTCTCCTCCTCCTCCTCCTCTTCTTATTATTCGTATTCATTATTAGTAGTCTTATTCTATTATTTCCATATTATTATATTAGTATGATTCCTCTTATTAGTAGTGTTATTCCTCCTCCTCCTCCTCCGCCTTCCTCCTCTTCCTCCAGCTCTCCTCCTCCTACCCTCTCCTCCTCCTCCTCCTCATCCTCCTCCTCCTCCTCCCCCCTCCTCCTCCCAATTTCTCATCACTCCTCCTCCTCCTCCTCCTCTCCTCCTCCTCCTCCCCTCCTCCTCCTCCTTCCTCCCCTCCTCCTCTCCTCCTTCCTCCGCCTCCTTCCGCTCCTCCTCCTGCCGCCTCGCTCCTTCCTCGCTCGCCCGCCACCCGCCTCCGAACCCTGCTCGCCCCCTGGCTCGGGCCGACAAATAAAACACACACCAAACCAAAAGGTGCCCGGCCGGCAACTGCCACCGCCACCACGCCTCCTCCTCCTCCTTCCTCCCCCTCCTCCCCCTCCTCCTTCCTCCGCCTCCTCCTCCGCCTCCCCCTCCTCCTGCCCTCTCGCCCCCCTCTCGCCCGCCAGCGCGCCCCGAACTGCCCCGAGGGGGGGGGGGGGACGTGCCGCGCCGCCCGAACCGTGGTGGGGGGCGGCGGCGGCACCGCCACCACGCCCCGCCTCGAGCGATGCCTGCGCACGCTGCCTGCGGCTGCGAGCTGGCTCCTCGCCGCCCCCGCCTCTCGCGCCCGCCCCCCCTTTTCGCCCGCTCTCCGTCCGACCTGGACGCAGGTCGGGCGTGTCCCCCTACAGTCGGGGATGGACAGACCCCCCTTTAGCAAAACGTGGTTGAGTGAAAACGACCTCAGGCCCAAACCTGGCGGGCGCAAGCCTGGAAAACGACGGCCACGGCGCCCTCTCGAGAACCGAAAACGGACAATTCACCAATCGACGTGTCACTGTTGGGGGTTCTGTCCACCCCCGATACAGGCGGATCTTGGACGAAAAAACACAAACGGTCAAAACATATCCAAAAGTGACCAAACAAACATGCGAAACATCGTCCCCAGCCGATTTCTCTACTATTTTTGCATCTTCCTCCTGCGGAGGGGCACGCCCGACTCCAAAGCTGGCGCCTCGCCGCCCCCGCCTCTCGCGCCCGCCCCCCACCCCTTCGCCCGCCCTCCCTCCGACCTGGACCTCCTCCTCCCCGTGTAGGGGGGGGGGGGGTGCGGTCGCCTTCACCAGCCCGCCCGGGACCTCCTTCGCCCGACCTGGACTTCTGAAGGTGCCCTGGGAAACACACAGAAATACACACTAAATGAAAGATTCCCCATATTTTCCCATATGTTCTGGGTTTTTCCCGGAAAGGGCGGGGGCCCAGGGTTCTCTTTTAGTAGGTAAACCTGTCCCCCGGTGCCAACTTGAAGGAGGCCGGCGGATTTTTTCCCTGATAAATATCGAGGTCGAAGGAGGCCGGCGGATTAAAATTTGAGGATGTCTCGAGCGAAACGCTTGTTTTTGAAATCCCGATCGATAAATCACAGGGTGCGGGCCACTTTTTCGTGCGTTGAGGATGTCTCGAGCGAAACGCTTGCTCCGCAGAGTTTGCCGAGGATGTCTCGAGCGAAACGCTTGTTTTGCAGAGCCGACCGCGACGCGGAAAAGCGCCCCGCGCGAAGGAATTTCGATGATGTCTCGACTAATTCCTTTGTTTTTGTACGATTTCCTGGAATTTTGGCAGGATGTCTCGAGCGAAATGCACGACCCCACCCTAGCACGACCATACCCCAGCACGACCACACCCCAGCACGACCAGACCCCAGCACGACCCCACCCCAGCACGACCCCACCCCAGCACGACCATACCCCAGCACGACCACACCCCAGCACGACCCGACCCCAGCACGACCCTACCCCAGCAAGACCACACCCCAGCACGACCACACCCCAGCACGACCTCACCACAGCACGACCACACCCCAGCACGACCACGCCCCAGCACGACCACGCCCCAGCACGACCACGCCCCAGCACGACCACCCCCCAGCACGACCACC